GTAGAGTGCGGTGCTGATAACACCAAGGCCACGGGTTCGGATCCCATATAGGGATGGCCGGTTAGCTCACTTGGGACAGTGTGGTGCTGACAACACCACGTCAAGGGTTGAGATCCCCTTACCGGTCACCTTTATATAGGAAAAAAAAATTAAAAAAATAAAATCTTAGATTTGGAAGTCAGTCAGCAAAGACCCCCGGCATGTCCACTCCTGGGGGACGGCAACTTCATGATGTGAAGGGTGCTGACGTCCTTCCTGCTAGGAGGGGACATTTGTCTGTCGTCCTTGAACTAGCATTTTTTTCCTCAATTTATTTTTTATTGAAAGGTAATTGATTGTACATATTTGTAGGGTACAAAGTTGGCTGTCAGTAGTTGTGTACAGTGTGCGATGGTCACATCAGGATAGTTAGCTTAATCATCATGACAATACGTAATCGTTCTTTTGTGCATTAACCAATTTCTCATTAGCCTCCCTCCCCCACCCCTCCTTTCCCAGCTCTAGTAACCACAGTTCTGTCCTCTCCCTGTGAAAGTTCAGCATATTATTGTGATTGGTGTTTCTTTCTTTTTCTGTCTCTTTCTTTATTGTTTGTTTATGAATTCAGCTCCCACTTATGAATGAGGACATGCAATGTTTCTCTTTCTGCTCCTGGGTTGTTTCACTCAACATAGTTTTCTCCAGGCTCATCCATGTTGCTGCAAATTGCAGAATTAGCATTTTTGATAGCGGTGGTCCTGCTCCCCTGCAGGGCCCACTCCCCACAGCTGGAGTCCACAGCCCACAGCTTGGCTCGGGCAGGCAGGAGCTTTTCTGCTCAGCGGAGGCTGTGGGCACACACCCTTCCTCTTGGATCATCTCCTCCAGACTTGGCCAAACTTTGCTATGCACCAGGCACGGAAGAGTAAGCTCCCACAGCTCTACAGACACGCTTCCCCTTGGACCAGCCTGCACCAGCTGGAGCCTCTGATTCCTGCACATACAACCTCGGTTACACAGTGCGGCACAGGGACACCAGGAGCTCAACGTGGTGCCTGCGTCTGGCTCTTCTGTGATCCCTACAC